GGTATATGTCTAGAAGTACAGTGACCAATACAGTTTTTTTTAAAGCGGATGCAAGTAGCAATTTCTTTGCATCAGTCTAACTCATTATCTAATATGTGCTACCGATTCTTTTTTTAATTGGGCTGTCGATTCTTTAATATGCCGATCTTCCTCCATTTAAACTCTAAAAATAACAGTGATAAATTTTTTTTCCACAAGTCTCAATTTTAAACAAGAAAAAAGAAACATATCAAACAAAATATGAACAACTGATCACAAATGGAAGGAGCAGCAATGGATGTGCTATGTGTGACCTCAACACATGGCTGCTGAATGCACTGATGAATCGGCGATCTTACGCAAAACATTAATATCAACCGAAAATATCGGTCCAGCCAACGCATCGGTTTAGCTCTTCTTTTCTTCTAGCTCTTTAGTGTCGTCAGTTTTGTATTCTACGCTGCCTCTCTGCCTCCGTTTAAGATGCAAAGTCAGTCAACTTGTTTGGCGAACGCCTGTAAGGTGGTGACTCACAGGATTGCAGAGTGCTACATGATGGCTAACGGCACCTGAGCTGCGCTACAATCAGGCCTTTGTGTTGTTAGATAAGCCTCAGCTGTCAGAAAGCCTCAGCGCTTCTCCATGGCAATAAGACTGTCTATCTGTTTCCTGACGCCCACTTCAACCTTAATGTGGCTCAGTCTGTCTCCAACGGCCACCAACTCTATTGCTAAGTCCACTCTTAGTGATGATTCAGTGTTTCTGGCTCACTGATCTGATGAAGTATTAGTAAATCATTGTTTTTTTTTTTTGCATGTATCTCCATTCCACTATTATTTAATATATAGCAACCAAGGACAGGACTTCTTATCGTCTGGCAAAAAAAAATCAAGCTTCTAAATGTAAATTCATATGTTTGTGTAAAGGTCAATGCCATTTTTTTGTTTTTCACCTGAAATCTATCAGTCAAACACCAGACAGACGTTAAAGGGGATTTTAGAGTTAATTTTTCACATAAAAAACCTAAATGAAAAGAAGGACATTTAAGCTTTTTTAGATAACGAATAACAGACGAAAAAGTAACAGAGAAAACTGAAAGGAAATGGAGGTTTTTCTGTTGAAAAAAAAGTATATTTCTGAAGGCCTCTGCATTTTGTCACATTACAACCAAAACTTTCAATGTTTTATACTGACATTATATTTAATGGAGGTAAATAAAGTAGTGGTAAAATAGGAGGAAAGGTAATACATGTTTTTATGAACATTGACATTTAGCTCTCATTAGTTATGTAAATGAAATCTATAAGAACAGAATGTCCTAAGAAGTCATTAGATAATCTGTGAAGTCCTCAATGGCTTAGAGAATGAACTGAATCATGGAGCCCAAGGAGCACAGCAGACAGGTCAGAAGAAGCAGACTTAGATTACGACATATTACAGGCTTTTAACTTCTCAATAAGTACTCCACAAATCTCGGCTTCTTCAAGGACAAAACAAAGATGTCTTCTTTACCGTTTACATGGTTTGGTCAAATAAAACCATGAACACATCATCCTGAAAAGCATGATGGTGGGAGGATCATGCTGTGTGGATCCTCTTTAGTTTTTTTGCAAAAAATCTGACTTCAAATATTCAGCTCAGGGGGGAGAATAAATACCCACCGCACTTTTCAGATCATTTTCTTTACTCCCCAATCATCTGGTACTTTGCTTTCTTGATGATTCAATGTGGCAAAAATCTTCTGTATGTTTTGTTTTTAACATCTCTGCTCTGCTAACATAGAAACCATCTGCCCTGAAAAGAAAAATGGAGGCAAAATATGCAAAATGTTTCTGCTAAAGTCATTCGAAAGCTGCCGCCTCAGATTAGAGAAATGAGATCTGACTGTTTGTTAGCTTTGTTAGAAAACTGGCGAAGCGCGTTTTTTAAGGGAACGGTCAAAGTCTAGTGTGCTCCAAACAGATCAATGCCACAGAGCGTCCTCTCTGCTGCGCTCCGACTGCGGGATGTTCCTTTAACGCTGGCATGCTGACTGTGTGATCAGAGGCGGCAGATGGGCTCAGCTGTTGTGTCTGCCGCTGCTTGTGTGTTGCTCAGCTGTTACCAGGTCACAGCTTCCCCTCCCCTGGATCTGATTACGCTGTGGAAATTTCACCTTCTCTTTCCTGGACGGAGCAGGGCATAGCTGGTTGGCGGGCAGCGTTGAGCTTGCTGAACGCCCGCTCCACTCCACTCCCTGCTGCACAGCAGAATGGAGAGAGCAGACCAGGCTCTTTTTATAGCAGCTTCAGTATTCAGATAGGGGAAAATTAAATTTTTATTAAAAAGGAGAGTCCTGTTCTAGAATTTCAGCTTGTCTTTCACTCTAGCCTCTCTTCCCCTCACAGAGAACATGACACAGTGTTTGTTACACCTCTGCCTCTTGTCTGAATCGGACCTCTGGGAGCTCCATCCTTTCCACCTCCTTTTCCCACCTACTCTTTTTCATCTCTCTTCTTTTTTTCTGTATCAGCACTACTGCATCAGTTGCACAGTGCTGACTGAGGGCCCACGCCGAGGCGTTACATAACGGCCGCTGCGTGCTGTCTGCTTACTGGGGCCCCTTTACTGAATATGTGGCTACTGGCTGCTTATGAGCCTCAATCTTCAAAGTAAATAAAATGAACGGAAATCATACAGTGCTTTGATATGAAGCGATCAACGTAGGGCGTAACTGTTAAATTGTTATGTATTCATTTTACTGCTTTAGTGTGCCGCTTTATAAAAACTTCTCAACAGTTGAACTTAGCTTGTATTTTAGGGCTATATTGTTAAAAAAGAAAAAGGAAAACTTGGCCTGGCAACAGTATTTATAGTTGCAACCAGATGTTTACACTTTTTTAAAAGACAAAAACTTTTATTTGTCACTGTCTAACAATAAATCTGACTAAAATGTTCCCTGTTTTCGTTGGTTAGAGTTACTAACACCAAGATTACGAGTTTTTTTTATAGTTAGAGTTTGAATGTTTTAATATTGACCATATGGCTTTGGTCAAACATACATGGGTTTCCTTCCTACAACGTTCGTATAATAGTTCTCACAAATTTTCCTAAAGGTTGTTTATTTGTGCCACAAACCTAAACTCTCAGTGAGACAGATGTGAAGATGTATATCTACGAACAGTAATTTCTGTTGTATACCTTTAAATCTTATACACCTGATCATGTGTCCAACTCTGTCTCTGTCGCAGCTTGAAAGTGAACATTAATGAATCACAGGGAAACATAATCACAGTGTTTTCAGTCAGGGTATTCCTTGCAAATAATGCATTTGGTTGCAAAACAAAAAATTTCAACCTGCAAATCAAAATACTAGTCGTAGAAACTATAAACAAAGCGGATTTATGAAAAACGCAAGATATCATAAAGGTGGCACGAATATTACGCAGTATATACCACAGTTAGTCTCTTTGTAACTAACTAATGTTATGCCCTCATTCGTTGTTCTTTTGAGAAACACATTTGTGTCCAAACTTAAACTTCTTGGCTGATAACAAAGTATTAGTTATTGTCCAAACTAAGGACATGTCCCCAAAAGCCGAGGTCCTTGTCCCTGTGCGCCTTTGAAATGGTAATGGCTGATTTAGGCTTTTAGTATTTTAATGACATCAGAGGCTGGGCAACAAATCGATGTCACTACGCATTGTGATAGACACCTGATCAATATTAAAATATCTACACTAAAATTTTCAATAAATTCACAAGATATCAATCTAGAAACACACGGCATTCTGGGGGATGTAGGCAGAGGAGAGGGTGTAGTGTTTCAACCTATCACTGCAAAACTAAGTATCCTTGGTAGTACAGACAGGGCGGTTCTAGACAGGGGCCAAAGGGGGCCAGTGCCCTTGTAGATCATGTCCAGGCCCCTGTTATGGCCCCTGTACTCCATTTTCAGCTTTATGGCACATAGTTAAATTCACTTCAGTTCATTTATATATAGCGCCAATTCACAACATGTCATCTCAGGGCATTTTACAGAGACAATTCAACCAGATCACACAGTCAACCTGATCCAAAGTTTTCCATCTAAGGAAAACCAGTTGATTGCATCGACTCATTGACTCCAAAGCAATCCCTCACAAGAAAGCATGCTTGTAGCGACAGTGGAGAGGAAAATGTTTTAAATAAATTAGCTAAATTTAACTTATGAATATTCCTCATGTAAGGTTTAGTTAATATGCTTGTGTTAAAGTTATCTAAAATAGTAAATTGGAGCTTGTTATATAAAGAAATTACATAAATCTTAAAATGTGGGGGAAATATTTTTGTTAGTTTATCCTCTCCTATTGACTGGATACCCAAAGGAAGGACAGCTAGAAAATCAGCCCAAAAGGTCACGGCCCTTGGGGGTCATCTATAGGGACAAGGCAAAGACCGCTATAGCATCTGCAGCGTGGGAGAAACCATTACCCCACTATGGCTTCTCACTCAGCGCTGGCTGCCTTCATGCCTGCTTGTTTTATCCTCCAGCTCATGTGAAGAATGATTGGTACCACACACCCTCTCTGGGGAAGCATTTTGGGGATAATTGCATTTCCAAATGCAATGCCACCAGTTAGAAATAACACTAAACTTTTGCAGAGCATTTCAGTTAGAGCATCATATGATTCATTTTTTAGCTTCTGTGATGTAAAAAAAAAAAAAAATCTCATCACAACGTTTAGGGTTTGTCTGACACGTGTGGCTTTTTTAGTGCTGCATTTAATCACTGTTTCCTTAAATCTGAGTCAATCTCTGTTCTCTATCTGTCACTGTGTTGCGTGCCTCTTATTATGATGTAAGCTCCTAAAAGTGTGTGATGATAAGTCTTGTTGGATTGATGCAGTGCAGGTTAGATGATCTAAAAGGAAAGGAATGTAGACGTCCCTTTAAATCTAAAAGACACTGATGTTTAACATATTTTCTTCAATCTGACACATAAAAAATGGTTTGTGTTCCTTAAAAGTGATTTTATTTGTTGCTTCTTTCTATATTTGCAGACATATTCTGGTCTTTTTTGCGTGGTCATCAACCCTTACAAGAACCTGCCCATCTATTCAGAGAACATCATAGAGATGTACAGAGGAAAGAAGAGACATGAAATGCCTCCGCACATTTATGCCATCTCAGAGTCAGCGTACCGCTGCATGCTCCAAGGTAAAATACACCCCACTCCTGTATCAGCATGTCCTGTGTTATTATTGTTATTATTGTGTGTTATTATGTATTGACACTTAGCAAGTCTCATCTTGCTGGTGATTTTCCAGGTGACTTGCAGAACGGTTGATTTATGCTTTGCATTCATTTATAGGTGTAATTTCACTTTCAGTAAAAATAAAATAGGAGTTAACTGATCAAACCTGAAAACTCTTGCTGAAAGTATTTTAGATCACTTACAGATAGAATTTCACAACATGCAGTTGTGCTTAAAAGATTGCACGCCCTCCCATTAAAGAAAATGATAAATTCACTCTGGTAATTGAAACAACACAAAACAAAATAAGGTAATAATATATACAAATGTACTAATTGATAATTTCTTAAAATAAATAGGCTTTTGAATTTTTTTGTAAATGATTCTAAAAAAACAAACTGTCCCAGACTATTTAAAGTACCTTGCTCATGAACAGTGAACCAACATACATTTCAACAGGTGCAGAATTCTGACTTTTTATTATGTTTTATTTAATTTAATTGTTATTTCTTTTTTTTCACTATTTTGTTTGTATTCAGTAGGTTTTCTTATTACGCAAAATAAAATCACATTAAAATAAAAGTTTTAGGTCCTTTAGTCCATGTTCTAGTTTTGATGTGGTTCTTTATGGCTTGGCTTATCCTGTCATTTTTGCTGTTTGTTGCTTGCCATATTTGTTCAGTTTGTTTACATTTTTCCAGGTGTTTTCTAGTTTATTGTTCTTCGGTATTTCATAATGTTCCAGTTAGTTTTCTCCTTACTTTTTTTTGTATTTGTAAAGTATGGAATTTTGCCCTTAACATCTATGTACCACATGCATTATACATGGTATATACAAACCACAGGTTTATGTTCCAGTTTGAGTTTGGCACATAAAGCACAGTTGATGGTTGTGACTTAGAACGCTTAGATGGAGATTTATTAATTGTTTGCAGAGTCTCGCTGGGTAGGACAAGTACAGATGGTGATTTATTTGAATCTCTTGCTTCAGCGCTCACTGATATTTAATTGTCCCATTTTCCTCATAAAATGGACTTCTAAAGTGTTGTTGGGGTATGTGCAACACACTGTAGATAAATTCATAGTCAGCTTCGTTCTCTGTTGGAACAAGATAGGGTTGAACCGGATCTACTGTCCTTACTTGTCCTACCTCTTTGTCCCTTATGTCCCTTCTTAAGATGTTTTCACTGCATTGCAGCATTGGAGTTCATGTCAACTGGTGCTGTTGTCTCCTTATAGGACCGGAGGGCTTAATTTTGCCAACTTCTTAACAATGTCCTCCACTGGCACTGCTACCACAGCCTTCAAGAAATGTGCTTGTTGCTTTAGACCAATCCTTGTTTCTTCATTAGTTCCTCTGAATCTAGGAATGTCTGCCACCAAATGTAAGCTTTGAGGAAAAGGACACAACTGTCTTTAGAGCAACCAGGGGAGTGAAAACACACTCTAATGTTTTTGCATATATTTTAAGAAAAAAATATGAATCAGATATTTTTCACATGAATTCTCCTTCTTAACCAAAAAGGGAGAGACATTTTTCAGTTTATAGCCTGTATCACTGCAAAAACAATCTAGAAATAAGTAAAAATGTCTTAGGTGAAGTGTATTTAGCCTTAATTTGAGTAGATGAGGTATTCTGCCAATGGAATGAGCCTCTTTACTCTTAAAATAAGATAATTAGATAATATGCACTTGAAATTAGACAATGCAATTGTTGTTTTCTTATTTTAAATGTAAATTGTCTTGCTCCATTGGCAAAGTGTCTCACTTACCTCCTAAATTTAAGAACAAATGCACTTATTACAAGAAAAAATGACTTATCTAGATTTCGATTTGCTTATTAAACAGTGTTGAGACACATTTTATTTCAGACACACCTAATACGCAATTAAAACACATATTTTTTTTTTATAAATCTAGTTCAAAATCAAACACAAGCAGTCCAAGAGTTCACCTCTCTCTTTGGGTTTTTGCAGAGGCTGATTGAGTGAGAGAACAGTCCAGATAAACAGGTTTTACCAACTCAAAAAAAGAGCAAAATGAGGATGAAGTTAGCATTTCAAACTGCCCTTAAATGAGTGATAAGCAAAAACATGTATGTTCACCCGCTCCAAATGAACATCCCTCTCTATTCCCTGGAGGTAGTAGACAGCTAATTTAGCTCGAAAACCTTCATCAATACAAGATTTTCCATCATAGAAAAGATTGAAGCAGAGAAACTTTTCTGTATTAGATTAAGCTGCTCTGGATGCTGGAGACCCTCAGGGTTTGTATGAATTTATGTCCTGTGCTGACGGCTTTATTTCAGAAATGACTAAATGTCAAAAGGCTTTAGCAGGGAAATGATGAGGACCCACTGAATGCTGACTCTATGTTGTAGCAACCTTGTTTATATAGAAACATCCCAACCAAAGGGTGTCTGTTTCTAAGCCACCTGGTATTGCTTTGTTGTGGTGCGCTCAGCAGGTGGGTTAAGCTCTGATTTTCCAAGCTGATCAAATCACCAAAGAAGAACTTTAAAAATGTTAGATCTCAGCCACTGGGGGAGTTCTAGGTGTAGTTCTGAGGCCGATATCTCATTTTATAATTGATCAGTCATCCTCATCATTGCAGAGGAATCTGGAAAAAGTATTTGACCTTGATTATGAGATTAGAACACAACAGACGCAGGACAGCGAGCCACGTTTGTTCTGAAAATATGGGGCATGTCTCCTGCGCCACCATTCTTTTCTCTGACCCCTAATTCGCGGCTCATTCTTTCGGGCTGCTCACAACGGGGCAAAGCCGCCTGTGGAATGAGGTCACCGCCGTTCCTGTTCTCTGCACCGTGCTCTGCACAATTCTGTGAATTGAGTCAGGGTGGACAAAGCTCTCCTGGCTGCCCATCAGCCTCATCTGGACCCCGGTTAGATATCATGCCTATATATGTTTTATACATGCAGTCTCTTTTTACTCTACGTTTTTATTTTCATTTGCATTCTTATCTTTTGTTTCACTTTTCTTTCTTCCAATTTTTCCTGGAGAAATAAAGAGGAAAAATAAACCTCCCCTCGTCCTCCCAGACATTTCAGTTTCCTTTCACTAAAGATGAAAATAAAAAAAACCCAGCTCTGCTGGAAGCTCTGCTGCGGCTCAGACTTCTTTGTCCCACTCTTCTTCTTCTTTAATTAGTAAACACAAGGGAACAAGTGTGAGGAATGTCCCCCTTATCACTGCTTCGTGTCAGGTCATATCCAGGGTTGCTATGGTTAGCCTCTCTCTTTAGGACCGTTTTTACTCATTTTGAGGTTTCCCCTTCATTTCACCTTTCAGCTTGTCAGGTAAAATAAATCGTGTCTGCATGCTTTCACTTAGGCCTGTTCAGTTTGATTCACTCTTGTACTTCTCCTAAGGCCTTGGCAGAACCAGTTATTATTTTATGGAAAAGAGATTAAAGGTAATTAAAGCATTAGTTGTCTGGATTATGTAACAGGGGAATTATTTAAAAAGATTTTGATATGTTTAATATTTAGCTGTGTCATTAATAAACAGATACGCAAAATGTGTTTTTTATTAAAAGATTTAAAACAAAAGGTTTAACCTTTGCCGCAGTTTTTTAAAGTACAAATTGCAGAAAAAGAGTCCACATCTGATGATATGATACCCTAATATTGACCTCACAATACAATACTTATTGCGATATTGTGGGGAGGCTCATGCTAACGGGAATGACGATAAAAAAATGCTTTAACCTGTTAAAGGTACAAACATTTATTCTCATATTGAGACCTTCACTAAAATGCAAGGTATTAACTTATGAATACAACTTAACTTAGACTTTGTTTGGTAAATAAAAATATCCAGGAACAAAACTGGGTCGGTATTAGATTTCAATAAATTAAAATAGGTAAAAAATAGTAAAAGATTGCAAGGGATTCTAATTTTCAAGCTGCCTAAGGCAGTTTCACATCAGTTTTCGTTTCACTGTATAGAGCTGGAAAACTACTAAAATGTGATTGCAATGGTATTTTTATTTATTTATTTATTTATTTTCTCAGTGTCCTGTCTGGCGATGGGGCAATAAGAATAATTGTCTTGATGCCAAAAAGAGCCCAACAGATTTTACTTTCACAAGTGGAGCAGTACGGCTATTGCCATAGTGTTCCTCTTGATTTATGCATATAAATAGCTTTATTATAATTCATGCAGGGAGTATTACAGATTATATGAACACTGCAATATAAGTAGAGTAGGAAAGGAAAACCAAGGAAAAAGAGAAAAGATGAAAGTAAAAGGAAATAAAAGGGAGAACGATGATTAAACGTCTTCTGTCTGCTTCATCACCTGCAAAGTGATGTAAAAAGAACAGCACAACCAACAATATAGTATAACAGATACAATAGAGTAACACCTTAACACCATCGCTGAAGTATATGTATTTTATGTATTGATTTTATATAAATAGATGTATTTTATATTAAGGCTCCAACTTAGACACTAACCCCAAGCCTTCCACAGTTATTAAGGGATGTAAATCACTCGCCATATATTTAACGATGCATGTTGGTATTTCTTGATCCTTGGTGCTTTTGGAGGCAGTGCTGTTGTAAATGCTTCATGCAGAGTTTTTTTAACTGTTTGTCGTTTCTTAACACTTTCATGGAACATCACTGGGTGGTGAGTTGTCAAGTGATTCCTCACGTTGCTCGTATTTCCATATATATATCCTGCTGTGCTCTTGCACTCTTCTGCTGTCACCTGTTCTCATTTCTTATGAACCAAAATACTTCCACAGCAGATTTAAAATCAGCTGGGGCATTCCCATTGTCTGTCCTGTGTATCCATACTGTGTTTGCTACTCTTGCTGCTGTCTGCCATGTTTTTTTTTAATGTTGGCGCTCAAGTTGGTTCCAAAGAGCCCATTATCTTCCTATGTATTTCAGTGTTATATTCTCCAACAAAGCAAACTAAAAACTACAAATTT